AAAAAAAAAAAAAAGGTGCCAAATAAAAACTACAGGTCCGCCCCTAGTCCTGCCTCCAAACTTAGATCCCCCACTGGTGGTGTTACTGCTGTCGACAGTGTGTGCAATCCTTCCAGGCTTTTTTTCTGTTTATACAAATAGAATCTCAAAGGAAATGTATTCCTAATTTTTATAGAGTCCTTCAAGTCCCCTGTGGTTGCCAATCTGTTGTGCAATTGAACTCAGTCTTCAATGGTGGTGGTGCATTCCATGTTCCGTATTGACCGCGGTCTATCCGATCACTCCCACTACTCGTGCGTTTATAGGATAATTTCCTTTTCCTTTTCTTTTTCATCATTGGAAACATGGCTGAAGTGGTATCCTTATATATAGTTACCTTTAGGCCCCCAAGTTTCAATTTCTGTAGCATCGAAGTTTGTTGCTGAGTCATAGGATTGGATCCTCTCATCTAAGATCTTAGCAGAATCTGCCAGATTGCTCTTGAAAGGGGCTCTTCCTCTCTCTATGTCCCAGCAATGACGGGCAGGTGTGGGATTATACTGGGTGACTTCGATCCTTTTCTGTCACCATTATAATTGGTGAAATTTGGTATCTTGTAGTTTAATTTGCATTGTGTTATTGTGAGCATTTTTTCATGCGGTAATTGGCTTTCTGGATTTCATGTTTCTTTGTTCTTTTTTTTTTAATAATCCTACTCTTTTTTTTTCATTTTTTTTTTTTTTAGGTTTATTTTTGACAGAGACAGAGTGTGAGCATGAGCTGGGGAGGGGCAGAGAGAGAGGGAGACACAGGATCCGAAGCAGGCTCCAGGCTCCAGGCTCCAAGCTCTCAGCACAGAGCCTGACGTGGGGCTCGAACTCATGAACCGTGAGATCATGACCTGGGCCGAAGTCGGACGCCCAACCCACTGAGCCACCCAGGCGCCCCTGGATTTCATGTTTCTTTTTGTGAATTGTTCTTGACGTCCCCCGCTTTCCCACTGTCTCCTTTTTCTTATGGATTTGTAGGAGCCCTTTGGAATACTTGTTACAAACAGTCTTGCCCGGTCTTTGTGTGTAATGTAGCTCATAAGACCCTTGACAGCAAGGATCAAATTGAAGTTAAAATTGTCAAGTTCACCCGTGCGCCATCCATGTGGGCACCGCCCTCAGCCCAGCCTTGCACGTGGGAGGGTGCCCCCCAAAGCAACTTGATTGACATGTAATCAATCGAAATTATTTTTGGAAACCCCATTCTGTTCCACAGATCTTGGCTCAAAAGTCTACCTCTTAGGAGAGGCCTTCTGGTTGTCGATCCAAAATAGCTGGCCACCACACGTGCAGCCCACAGTCCGTCCCTGTGGTCCGCACCGCCCTTTCCACCCTCTGAAATCATCCTGCCCACTTATGCGTTGACTTGTTAATTGTCTGTTTCTCCGTGACCGTGACCGTGACCGGGGGGGACCTTTCCTGCCTTCTTCCCGGCTGCATACCCAGTTCCCAGAATAGCGCAGAGAGGCTGGTCCACAAATAGTTCCCAAAATATGGCGAACGAATGATGAACTTTCAGGTTTGAGCTCGATGTGACAAGGTTTTGATAATGGTCACTTTGGTCTGCTAGGGTCACTGCGGCTGTCAGTTTCTTGGCTTCATAATTACTTATAAAAAAAACTCTGACGTTCTTGCCTGACCACGTTTGCAGCTGAATGTCACGACCGACATGCCGTGTTTTGTAAAAATACAGACAGGATTTTGATATTGGGTTGAGTCTTGGTAGCAACTTCTGTTTCTCTTTCCTGCATTCTGGCTCCCAGACAGCAGCCATGCTTAGCAAGCCCTGTGTTCATGCCTTTGTTACTCTTATCGCGCTTTTAAAGTTTCTTTAATAAGTGCCATATGTCACACATGTGGAATCTTTTTTTTTTTTTAACATTTATTTATTTTTGAGAGACAGGGA